ATGCAAGATCAAGCTATTTTCTTTAGTATTTTTCACTCTGTTTGGATAAACCAGGACTGTGGGGTTTGCAAACTGACTGTCTATATCAGTGTTTCTCAGCCTTGGCAACTTGAAGATGTGTGGACTTCAACTCCCAGAATTCCCCAGCCACCAATTCCGGGAGTTGAAGTTCACACATCTTCAAGTTGCCAAGGCTGAGAAACACTGATATAGACAGTCAGTTTGCAAACCCCACAGTCCTGGTTTATCCAAACAGAGTGAAAAATACTAAAGAAAATAGCTTGATCTTGCATATTTTTGCATAAGTTTATAACAGATGGTCATGTGTCAGTTCAAATGTAACAGTCTTGGTCAAATAAACAATAGACTAGATGCCGTATGAAATAAAAAACAGGAATATGTTTATTATGTATTTTTCATTTCACAATGGTTTTAATTTAATTTTTAAACAATTTGAAAATATAAAAATCAACATAAAACATCTTGAAACTATTTAAGTTCCTAAAAATGATTAAAAGCCATGCTGAACAATGGGTTTTTAAGACTCTCTTGAAGGGTTCCAAAGAAGATGGAGCCTTGATATCTACTGGGAACACTTTCAGAGCCTAGGGGCAACAACTGAGAAGACCAAGATGGACTCTTCTGACATTTTAAATGTTTATAGGGATCAAGATGAAAGAGAGATCAAATATGGGTTGATGACTAAAGGGTGATGACAATGTCTAGAAATTCTGTGAAGTTAATACAGTGGTACCTCTACTTACGAACGCCCCTACTTACGAATTTTTCGAGATACGACCAGCTCTGGCCCCAAAAATTTACCTCTACTTACAAACTTGACTCGACTTACGAACCGGATCCACGGCCATTTTCCGCCCGTTCCACGTGGTCTGTGGCCATTTTCCACCCGTTCCACGTGGTCCGCGGCCATTTTCCGCCCGTTCCACATGGTCCGCGGCCATTTTTCCGCCCGTGCCACATGGTTCGCGGCCATTTTCCGCCCGTGCCACGTGGTCCGCAGCCATTTTTCCGCCCGTTCCATATGGTCCGCAGCCGTTTTTCCGCCCTGCCGCGTGGTCCGTGGCCATTTCCCGCCCGTTCCACGTGGTCCACGGCCATTTTTCCGCCCGTTCCACGTGGTCCGTGGCCATTTCCCGCCCGTTCCACGTGGTCCACGGCCATTTTTCCGCCCGTTCCACGTGGTCCGTGGCCATTTCCCGCCCGTTCCACGTGGTCCACGGCCATTTTTCCGCCCGTTCCACGTGGTCCGTGGCCATTTCCCGCCCGTTCCACGTGGTCCACGGCCATTTTTCCGCCCGTTCCACGTGGTCCGTGGCCATTTCCCGCCCGTTCCACGTGGTCCGCGGCCATTTTTCCGCCCTGCCGCGTGGTCAGCGGCCGTTTTTCCGCCACTGATGTGTGGTCCACGGACGCCGGAATGGATTAACGCTAATTACATTGAACCTTATGGGAAAAC